TCTCCCCCCCTGTCCGAAGTGAGCCCCGGCAGCTGCAGTCGCTGGGCCTCGCTCGTCTGTCCCCCTCGTCCAAAGCAAGCCCCGGCGGCTGCAGTCGCCGGGCCTCGCTCATCTCCTTCCCCCCATCCGAAGCGAGCCCCGGCGGCTGCAGTTGCTGGGCCTCGCTCGTCCCGTCCCCCCTCTCCAAAGCGAGCCCCGGCGGCTGCAGTCACCGGGCCTCGCTCGTCTGTTCCCCCCGTCCGAAGCGAGCCCCGGCGGCTGCAGTCGCTGGGCCTCGCTCGTCTCTTCCCCCCTCTCCAAAGCGAGCCCCGGTGGCTGCAGTCACCGGGCCTCGCTCGTCTCTTCCCCCCTATCCGAAGCGAGCCCCGGCGCCCGGGCCTCGCTGGGCCCCGGCTGCCTGCCTGGCCGGCTGGGCCGCTGGCTCGGAAGAGGAGGCGGCGAGACCGTCTGCAGAGCATTCCCTGCGCATGCGGACGGGACGCTCTTGCACTTTTGGAGGGATTTAAGTATCCCCCCAATATTTTTTTTGAGTTTTTAGATTTTTGTGCACACCTGGGGACCGTCCCAAGTGTGCACAAAACTCTCCCTCCCCCCAGGTTCCCCCGGTGCGCGGATTTAGGTATCCGCACACAGGGGGCGCCTTTCGGTATTAGATATATAGATATAATACTCACGGCATATATCAGGAGTCCTCCAGAATACACAAGCTTCAGCTTTGATGCATTCTTGTGCATAGGCAGCAACTGCAGTACAGAAGCATTCACAGTCCCCACCAGAGTCACAGGCACATGCATCATGGACACAAGCTTCATAGAATTGCTTTGGATCTACCTGTTAGGAAATCACAAAACCAAAGGGCTGTGATAGATCTATATATGGTATCAGTGGATAACCTATTCCAATCCTCTGTCCTAAAACAAAATCCTTTATCCACCTTGATCTTCGACCGTGAATCTCATGATTGTCAGTACACCGGAATGTTACTGGGCATGTTTGTGGAACATCCTTGGCACATTAATACATGCCCCACTCATATAACAGAGGCAGCAAGAATGTAAGAACATTTTTACCCCTATCAGCTTTTCACCAATTCCCATCTTGGACAGAAATCTCTAACAGTGCACTTCTAAACAGAGTTATACCCTTCTAAGTCCCCTGAAGTTAATTGGCTCAAAAGGGTATCACTCTCCTTAGAACTGCACAGTTAGGCAGGCTAGTAGCATTTGGTATGTCCAAAGCAAAAAATTTGATTTTATATTGTTTTCTGTTGCCCCAGAAGGTTGGACCAGATCCAATGGGTTGAAATTATATCAGAAGAATCTTCGGCTAAACACTAGGAAGAACTTCCTGACAGAGTGGTTCCTCAGTGGAACAGGCTTCCTCGGGAGGTGGTGGGCTCTCCTTCTTTGGAGGTTTTCAAACAGAGGCTAGATGGCCATCTGTCAGCAATGATGATTCTGTGAACTTAGGCAGATCATGAGAGGGAGGGCAGGAAGGGTTGCCTCAGTGCTTGGTTCTTGTGGCCCTTTCTTACACGCCCAGGGAAATGCTGATTGCCACTTGGGGTCAGGAAGCAATTTTTCTCCAGGCCTGTTTGGCTGGAGATCCTGGAGGTTTTTTTTGTCATCTTCTGGACGTGGAACAGTGGTCACTGGTGGTATGTGGGGAGGAGGTATTTGTGAATTTTCTGCATTGTGCAGGGGGTTGGACTAGATGACTCTTGAGGTCCCTTCCAACTGTATGATTCTATATGCAGAGCATTTCAACATTTTTTTTAAAAAAATCTGACAATATTTATCAAAATAAGGCATCAGAGAATGAAGGAGGAGGAATGGGAGTTCCATATGTACCCCAGGACTATAAATTTTGGATAAGGCAACTCTCCCTCCATTTTTGCTCAGGGACAACATGCACTAGCTCAAGGGTGTCGAACTCATTTGTTATGAGGGCCGGTTCTTACATAATTGAGACTGTGTTGGGCCGGGCCATGTGTGTCATAAAATGTAATACCAGGTAGCGAAGACATAAACTTTATAAAGGACACAGACAAACACAATTAAAGATTTTTTAAAACTTTAAATAAAACATGCTTAAAACATTAGCACTCTTGCAATATTTTGTCTGTTTAACAGAACCTGATAACTGACACCTCTTGCTCTGAATTATTGCATCAAAAAGTCTGCTGTAGTAATCTTGAGTATGCTGTTCAGGTGTGTATCTGTAAGCTGCAAACCTACTTTTGATTTATTGGCATTCATTATAAAAATCTCATGCTCAGTGTTCTGAGCATAGGACTCAAGGAAAAACATAAAACATCTGGGCATTGTGAGCTTTTGTACATAAGTTGCTTCATGTGCTTCATGTGCTGGTGAAGAACATGAGAAGGCATCCCAACACAGACTGAGGGCTGTTTGTTTGTCTACAAAAATATAGTATTTTCCAGAGAAATAACTACAACTTCCTACAAAGGGAATGTGCTGGGTGAACTTGGTCTGGACATACACTCTCAGTCTAATCCACCTCACTGGCTTGTTGTTATTCCTCCTCTAAAATAGTTCATATTGCTTTCTTACTAAGAAAGACTGGATCATGAGGCCCAGTTCTCCCAGATTAGAGTCTGCGCACTTAACCACTACACAAAACTGGCTAGCAAATTCCATTTTTTGCATTAATTCTCTTGGTCTGGTTCCGGTTCTGTTTTTTCCAAGATAACCTATTTTGACACCATTTGGCAAATTGTTTGTATGCCCTCACATGACAATAGTGTACTGTAGCAAAATAATGGATAGCAGCAAGCGACAACACTAACCTTGGGATGGCATACTGCAAAAACTTCACTTGTAATGAGGCCACACTCCTTCTCTGCCCAGGATTTACGATGAGGTTTTTGGTCACAGGGCTCGATGTCTACATCCACATCTGGACATGCACTATCCCTTTTCCATGAATTTCCAAAATCCAGTGCATTGTTTACTTGGACTTGGCTTCTCGTTGTGAAGTCATTATTAGCCTTGTCATCAAAGTTACCACATAAGCCACAAACTTTGCCCTGTCGAGGAAAACATTCAAAAAAATGTACAATAAAGAATTTGATCTGTCCTGTTTTCCCAGTATTATTAATTACGGATATTACTGGATGTAGGGATTTTTTTGGGGGGGAGGTGCCAAGTTAATATTCAGAAAATATGCACAGTCTAATCCAGGCCTTGCAAGTAGCCCTGCCTATGAAATTGCTTGTGTGAGCACAGCTCTTTGCATGTGAGAAGGAAGCCAGCAATGAACAGTGGCAGCAATAAGGGAATTTTGTGCACAGTTGTGTGTATGCTGCAGAGTGACAAAAATAGGCAAGGGACAAGGTTGCCCCCTTAGGATTCATTTTTTTTTTAGTTTTAAAATATTTGCTATACATACTTAAAATGTATCAAATGAATATGCAAAACTTCTGTAGAGTGAACCATTACATCACAAAAATATAATGGAATACCAAACCAATAAAGCACACAGTGGCATCCATATAGCAAGGCACATGTGCTGCAGAAACACTATTAAAGCAAGCAATACATATATCTTTTTAATTGCATTCATCTTTTAGTAGCAAACCTTCCATAGAATTAGGCAAGACATTCCAGAATCACTCACTTTATAGTTTGGTGTCAGCTTGATGAAAATAGTAGTCTTCGTGTCCCAAATGAGCATAACACCATTGCTAGCTTCAACAACAAGGTACAGTCCAACTTTACGAGTCAGGTATTTCACATGGTTGCCAAGGTCCCGCGTAATTACTGCTATCTCTTTGTCTTCCAATTTTAGCTCAGTACTCTAAATTACAGATACATAAAAGGCTTTATGAGAAGCATTATATATATATAAATATATTGTTTTCACAAATAAGAATTTGAGTATGAACGCAAAACTTTTCCTAATTGGCTTGACCTTACACAGGGTGGCTTGGTTCTCTACTACAGGCTCTGTGCAATTTATTTCCAGGTCTGTTCACTTAAATGCTGCTACGTACCCCTAGAAATACTTTAATGGCTTTGGAGCAGGTAACTCCAGTGGTTCCACATGGGACATTCTCTGTGATGATACTAAACGATCCGTGGTGTCGTTCGCGGCCACAGTAATCCTAGTGGGAATGGAAAAGATAAACAAATCTAAGCAAAAAAAAAAACCAAGCAGAATATTGAATGAATGAATGAATTTTATTGTTATGGCGCTTAGCCAGCAGTATAAAACCATAGGAATAAAAATAAATTACAATGGCTAAGCAGAATATTCATATCCATAGCAAACTTAACATCTTTCACATGTAATCATCTTCTCAGAGTGTTCAGGCCATGAGGATTTGGTGCTCTAACGGCTGGCATGATGCTGTCACTGCATTACCAGTGATGATCTTGATACGGTCCACTAGAGCCATTAACAAACTGAGAACATTAGGATTAGACCCGTACCAACTTTTGGGAAGCGGCTATGCTAGGGCAAAAACCACTGTTTACCAACGTCTCAGAGATATTGAGTTACAAACAGCTTATGCCGCACTTCCGCCTTTTTACAAATCTCTGAAATTCAAAACTTTAATGTCTGCTCCTTTATACCTAGCTAATATTTCCAACCCAAATCATAGATGGGCCTTTTCCAGAGCCAGATTTGACACTATTCCATCTGCAGTTCTTTCCGGAAGATTTCAACGTATCCCCAGACATCTGAGATTTTGCTCATGCCCTTCCGAGTCAATAGAGACCCTCCCCCATATATTATTTCATTGCTCTCACTATGCAGAAGAAAGGGCCCTTTTAATTACGCCTTTATTAAGGTCATTTAGATTTCAAGGACAATTAGTCATCCAGTCTGAGGAACTTTTGCTGAAATACTTACTGGAGGACAAATCCATGGCTATTTCAAGGAATGTTACTAAATTTCTTTTTATTGCAATTACAAAGCATAAGCATCTCCTTAATACTCCTTGAGATGTTTGTTTGGTTGTTTGTTTTTCCCCCCTCTCTGTAATGTCTTACGATAATCTAGAGACTGTTTTTGATTCTGTATGCTGTCTGATGGGTCTTTGACCGTAATAAACTGATTGATTGATACGGTTTGGAGCTACAGTGTTAAAAATGAAGATTGCCACATTCACCATCTGTTTCACAGGTTTCAGGAGCATGGATTCAGTGCATCTGCCTCATTCTCCCCAGATCCGTCGTATGGATGACCAAGTCATCCTGGGTGAGTAAGTCACCATTTGGATTCGGAGCACCTAACTCCTTCTCCTTAGACCCAGGATATGGATGACCAAGTCAATCTGGCTGAGCCATTCATCATTCAGCAGGTAGTAAGCAGAACTGTAACATGCATCAGATTCAGATGTAATCTAACCATATGCCATACGAGGTACCATGATTTCGTAGGTTTTGATTCATGGGGATGAAATAGGAGCCAACCAATAGGCATCTTAAATAATAATTCATAATGCAATGGAGATATAAGTGTAACAATATTACCTGGGAAGCTATGTATTCACAGTTTCCATCAAAGTCATAGTATTTTCCATCAAAGGTGATATAATGGCCACTTCCATAAATGATACATGCCCCATGACATACAAATTGGGTACAAGCCCAGTTTCCATTTTGACAAGTACTAGAGAGTATCAAAAAAGAAAGGAATGGTTAAGACCAAGTCTCTGTCTCTGTTCTTTAATGTTATATTGCAGAGCAAACTGTGCAACCAATTTAGCACTTAGTCTATCACATATGTTCTGTTTGCCAATCAGTACTCATAAGAGTAAATATACTCTTTAGATTAAATATGAGTCATTTAATCAGCCTATCACTAGCTAGTTGTACCCACAGTTCCAAAGCTATCTGATGCTGCTGCCTTTGCTTCGTGGATATTGTTAATTGACTACTGAAAGAGACTATCATTTTCTTGAAACAGAAATGGAAGATTCTTCCATAACTAATGGAGCTGGTTCAGAGTTGCTTTAATGAAGATCTTTCCATGCCATGTTTGTAAAATATGAATAATGATATATCAAGATGGTAGTCATGGAGCAGGAAGTGACATAATCACTCTGGATCAGTTGCCTCCACAACCTGTTATTATTTGTTTACAGACCACCTAAATTACAATGCGGGCTCCAAGAGCCCTTGGGGTGATTCATTTGAGGGCCTTTTATATGACCTAAATATATCACTCTCATTTCTAGAGAGCAGAAATGGCAAGTTACGTAGGGCATAGCAAACGTCCTAGCTTTACACGGGCTTGCCCTTGTGGCTGATCCAGAAACTCCAGCTGGTGCAAAATGTGGTGGCATGCCTGATGACGGTGCTGCCCGTGCAAGTGCGTGTTCAGCCGGTGCTACGCCAATTGCACTATCTACCAATAGAGTACTGGATCTGCTTCGACGTATTGGTAAAGCCTTGCATGGCCTTGGACCGACAGATCTGAGGGACCGCATCTCCCCATAGGTGTCCCAGAGAGCCTTGCGCTCTGCTGATCAAGATTTGCTGGTTGTCCCTGGCCCAAGGGATGTCCATTTAGCCTCAACCAGGGCCTGGGCCTGGGCCCAGCCTGATGGAACATGCTTCTGCATGAGATCAGGGCCCTGCGGGACCTACTGCTCTTCTGTGGGGCCTGTAAAACTAAGCTGTTCCACCAGGGCTTTGGTTGAGGTGATGGGCATCCAGTGATAAAGTTGGCCTCCCCCTGCTGACGTCCACCATCTCTATGTGGCCCAGATCAAGTAGACCCCAGAGACCCAGCAACACCAGCTCTGGAGATTGTGGACACAAACAAATAGTGAAATCTGCTTGAAATTATTGTTCTTAACTATTTTAATCTGATTATTTATTTATATCGTGATGCCAAATGGCCCTGTGATCCGCCCTGAACCCACTTGTGGGGAGGATGGAATATAAATCTGGGGGGGGGGGGAAATCGTTTGGCAACATACTCCTAGAGCCACTCAGCTAGTTTCTGAGCTTTTATGCTGAACCCTGAATAGAACTGTCATCTTTCCCCCCCCCCCCTGCAAGGGTTCATATACCCAGGGGCCATTTCCTGCGGGAGCGCACAGGAGTGGAACTCCGGCAGTAAAGAGCCCAGGGGGTGGGCACATGCAACAAGCCCCACCCCCTGCTCCCAGCAGCCCCGGGCCATGAGGACCAAGAAGCAGCCAGGTAAGTTGCAGTGGGTGTTGCCTTCTGATACACTTCCGGTGATGTCAGGGGGTGTGGCAAATGCAAATAAGTTATCCTAATGAGTTATGCTAATGAGCTCCTGCACCTCTTTTTCTACCAAATGACCCCTGCATATACTTACAACAGCATTATGAAGGGCAGGGGCTGTAACACTTACGTATTCTGTACAATGCTTAACTCACTCTTTGACTTTATGAATCTCAACTCCTTGTATTGCTGCTGCTATGAATATGAGTCAATCGTAAAAGAAGGTCATACCATTCATTGCAGTCCACATCTATTCTTTCTCCAGGGGCATAAAACTCTTTGTTATGAATACATGGGCAGTCCTCTTCTTCAACACATCCCCCTCTGCCATCATCAATCAATCCATTGGGGCATACACACCCTGAGATACACTCTGTCTGGAACTATGAGAAGAAATAATAACATTACATTTGTACTTCATGAGACATCACTACATGGTGGTCGAACAGAATCCATAAACTGTATTATATTTAACAAGGTCCTTTTAGACAGCCAAATCAGACTCAGGTTTACTACCCAAGGTTCATTACCGATTGTTACCATTATTGGCCCAGTAAAGTGAGAACCTAATATAATTTGCCTGCTTAGAATCTTCCTGACCGATTTCACACAAGAGCTGCACCGTGGTCGCGCCTCCCTTTGCCCCGCTTCTATTGGTCAATTTCCCACTCGAAGCTGCGCAGCCACATTTTGACCCGCGGCTTCGCCCGATTTTCCCTGCGGTTTCGTGATCCTGTTTTTTGAGGGTCACAAAACGGCGGGGAAAATCGGGCAACGCCGTGGGTCAAAATGTGGTTGCGGGGCTTCGAGTGGGAAATTGACCAATGGAAACAGGGCGAAGGGAGGCATGACAATGGTGCAGCTTCGAGTGGGAAATTGTCCAATGGAAACGGAGCAAAGGGAGGTGTGACGGCGGCACCGCTCATTGTGTGAAATCAGCCTGTATCTATTTCTGATGCATTTTATTTTTCCTTTTGCATCATTTTGGTGGGCCTGAGGATTATCTTTAGGAGGGGAGTATAACACCACATTCAAAATTAATGTTTGTTCAATGAATCCGATATTATGTGATGAAAGAGAGCATTATTTATAGGTGTCCGAGAAAGGGCAGTAATGTAAAGGAACAATATTAGCGAAGTAAAAAAACAACAACTACAGACAGTGATCAAGAATAGGTGACATAAAACTGCAAACATTTGTTCCTCCAAGGCTGCAAAAGCACATTCATTAGAAAATATCCCCATTTGATTTTAAAGAAGTTAGCAAAGATCCTTGGAATCAGAGTATGAGTTTCATGCTAATTACATCAGTTGTTGAACAAGGGGGATGAGGAAGCTAAGCTGTAGTCACGGATACATACATGAGCGGCGCCCAGGGTCTGGCAGCTAAGCTGTACTGGTGTTTGGGAAGACCAAGAGGCAATGTCGTTGCAGTCAAAATAAGTCTTATTGGGTGAGCAGTCTGCAAAATAAATAATAGACTTTTGAGAACAGAAAACCTCATGAGACTCAACAGGGAAGTGCTAGCAGAAGGACCTTGCAGGGGCACATTGTTCCCATCTTCCTTTCCCAGCAGCCCCAAGAATGCCCAGGAATACCTCTGCTGGGTGTCAGGAGATCCTCATATGCAACATGCACCTTAAGTGCTGCAGAAAGGAGGGGAATAAAGTGCAATTCCCTCCTTTCCCTCTTCCATTGACGCTCCACCACTGTTCCCTCTAAGCTGAGTTAGTGTGAGCTAGCTCACAGTTTTTTAGCCTCCGGCTCACACATTTTTGTCTTAGCTCAGAAAGGATGGCTCCAAAGCAAACTGATTTATGCAGTAGCCGAATCGTTCGCTCTCAACTTTAATGCCAGTAGCTCACCAAGTTGATTTTTTGCTCACAAGACTCCACAGCTTAGAGGGAACATTGCTCTCCACCAGAAGAAGAGGGAAGAGGCAATCTTATTGAATCCCCCCTTCTCACTGTAGCCCCTTCATGCCACGGAGCATTTATTTTACAAGGATCCCCTGGACTTTCTTATCCTGTTTGATGAGGAACCCCTTTCCTTCCTGAACGGCCACTTAGACTAAACATCTTACAGCGCATTACTACACATGAAGAACTCAACAGCCCTATCTACTCAGCCAAGGAACAGCACCATCCACACACCATTCCAGGTTTAGAGACAAAGTGTTTGATAGCCATTTTTGTGGCTAGGGTATGAGGAAAGGTAGCTGTTTTCTCTGAAAATTTGTACAGCAGCGCTTAATGTGCTCCCAAAGGAAACAAGTTCCAGGTCTTCCAAGAGAACATCCATAGGCTGTAAGTTTAGGGGGGGAAGCCCAAAAAACTACTAACACATTTTTAAGAAATGGTAAACTGTAACAAAAGACAACCCACCAAATGAGTGACTTTTCTAAGAACAATAACACAATCACATGGCAGTGAAGTCAAACTGGGAAAATACGAAGTATTTCCAAAGCTTTAAACCTACCATGATCTGTTATTATCACTGGTACACAGTTAAGTTTTCCATGTTGGCAAGCACTAGAAAGGAATACAGGAAAATTCATAAGATGGAATCTAGACATTTGGGTTTTGCAAGTCAACTCCAGTTTATATAATGCCATTAATAACATTAAAGTAATTAATTTAAAAACTACAGATACTTCATAGAAATTAAAAAATCATGTCATCCGGTTTATGGCGACGCACAGGCAGACGTATCTCCCGGACCTCCGGGGATGCAATCTGCACACCAGCATGTAGGAGGGGTCGCGACAGGTCGCTACCTCCCCCTCGGAGCCTTGGTGAAAGGCTCCTAGCCAGGGGGCTTTTGAAGGGCGACCTCTTTGCCAGCGCAATGCCGGAGAATTAAGGTGCTCCTCTGCCCCGATGGTCCTGCTGCTGAGTGTCTGCATGGACTTAGAGTTGCTGACCGGGACAAGCGTGGGAGATCAAGTGAAAGAAACAATTGCCGAGCGAGGCTGGATGGCCAACAACAAACAGTGAGTCAGGTGGAAACGAGCATGAGAAGTTAAAAAGAAAGCTACCCCCCCTTACGAAGCAGTAAAAAGTGAGCGAGGGAGGGGCCACTCCCAAGCGCACAAACGAAATATGGAATAAAGAGGGAGGGAGTGGAAGAGCAAGCATTTAAATCTGTTTTAAGAGACTTACCAGAGCGCAGCTAAGCGTAAGGGCAAATTTCAGAGACTTTGGCAACTTTTAAAGAAAGTAAACAATCCAAAAAGATGGTGGGGAAGAAACCAGATAAAGACAAACTTGTGAAAGCGAAACTAGTGGGCAATCCTCGAACGGAAGAGACCACTGAGCTTTCCAAAATGCTGGCAGATTCCTTGCACCCTCTGCTGGACGAGATGACTAATATCAAGCAACAATTGTCAACAATAGGTCAGAGCTTGGCCTCACAGCAGCTACAATTGACTAAATCCCTAAAAGCAACGGAGCAAATGGCTGAGAAGGTGAAGGAAATGGACGCTGATACTAAAAAAGTTAAGAAGAAGGTGCAAAAGCTGGAACTGAAACAGGCAATGGGAGAAACACAACTTTTACAGTTACAAATGGAAAAAGCAAATCTGGTCCTACGGTTTCAAGAGGTTCTGGAATCGAAAGGAGAGAATCTGAAGCAACTGCTGAGTGAAGCAATAGCCCCAAATACAGATTGGAAAGCGGAATATCTTCATAGTGAGATGGATGTGGTCTACAGGTCCTATTCCTCATATATTAAGAATAATATGCCAGGGGAAATAATAGTAAGATTCTCGAAGAGACATGTGAGGGACACTATCTTGAAAGTAACTACAGGAACACCCTTGAAAATCGGAGACAATAACATCAGGATTTTAAAAGACATTCCATTTTATATAAGACAGAAGTGAAAGAAATATAAAGAACTAATCCTTTTTCTACAAACAAACAGCATCGAATATAGATGGTTAATTCCAGAATGCGTCATTTTCAAACTCCACGATAAAAAAGAAAATATTGACTCTGTTTTTAAAGCACGGGAGTTTTTGAGAGCACAGCTTGGGGAACCAGCTGAGGACAAGAAGGAAGAAGAAGAAAGCAAATTCGATGGCGAATTGGACTCGGTGTCTTCTGACGAGGACTCTCCCTTCGAAAAGGGGGCGGCTGCCCCCAAAACTTCATATAAATTGAGGATTAGAAAAGATAAAACAAAATAAGGGCTGAAGAACTCTGAATTGTGCCTGAAGATTTTATTAAAATTGTGGGGTACTGTGGGGGTTTCATTAAACAGATATAATGATGAAAAAGTTATATAACCTAGCATAACTGACCATGTACAATGTATTAGCAGCATGTTAGATGAACATTGATATAAGCGGTTGTATTGATCTCTTATTCTTGGGTTTTTAGTTATTACTGGGTATCTTTTCTTTCTCCTTAGATGTAGTTCCCCTTCCCCTTTTTTTCAGTTATAGTTTGTAGTGTTGAAAAAATAAATAAAAAACTCCCCCTAGGGGGATTATAAAAAAAAAAATCACATGTGAAAGGTCTTTTTCTTGAAAGGATTTGCAAAATTTTCCCAACGTTTTGCGCTGATATATATATAAATTGAGCAAACTTCAGAGGACGGCGGAAGACAGGAGGGCCTGGCGGGAGCTGGTCCATGGGGTCGCGAAGAGTCGGACTCGACTGTGCGACTGAACAACAACAACATATATATACTAAATACTTGGGGATGATGGGGTGGGAAAGTGTTTGGATCATGCATTGTAGACAAACAGTGGGTAAAAGAACATTGTGTGTAGCCATAATCCTACTTAAAAAAAAAAAAAATCCAACATTTTATGTCAAAGCATATCAGCAACGTGTCTTGCTGCTCTGGACATTCTCGCCCTTTAAAGATGTTCGTTTCTGGTGCTCCAGTTGTGCATAAGAAGAATGCATGCTACATATAATTGTCCCAATATGCATGGTCACTATTTTGTATGAATAGGGAAGCAAACATATTTTCCAGTTTCGGTACACTTGCATTGAACCCCCAATTTTTGAGAGAATGTATCCGCACATACTGAAAATGGAAAATACACATGTCGTCCTAGTCACACAAAATGGTGACCACAAGGGTTAATAGGATCGCTCATGGCAGCAGCTCCCATTATTTGTGGTTCGAGCACCAAAATCAAACATCTAACAAACATGTATTTCTAAAGCTCACATCTAGCACTCACTCTAATAAAAGGCACTGCCTTTCTTGTTCTAGATTTCTCACATTGGTCTCCTGTTGAATTACGCCAAATCCCTATTCCAGACTCCTGGATTAAATTATGGTTACAAAAGAGTCTTTGGGGACTGCATGCCCCAGCTCTGCCAGTACAAGTCTGAAATTCTCCATGCTCTTACAGTGTTGCACTATGACATCTGCAGGATGAAGATGACAGTCCCCTGTATTTCCAACACAGGGGCGCTACAAATCAAGATGATAACCTACCAGCGCTCCTCCTGTTTCATGAAATAGTCACCAGGTTCGATGAATGAACCTTTGTAGTAACATGGGCACTGAGCAACTGGCACACAGACGCCCTTGTCATTCAGATAGCGATTGTCGGGACAGCCACAGCCATCTATAGGAATGAAGCCCTGCAAGCAATGCTTATCGCCTTCAGAAAGTGAACGGCAGGTCTGCTGGCAGACGGTCAGATTGTAACGGAAGACCTGGGTAGCTGGACAGGAGGACACTTCTTTGTCTGAAAGGAGAGGAGAGAAGAATAAATTAAAAATGTCAAGAAGGTAACCCACGTGGAACCATAAGAAGAGCCCGGCTTGATCAGAACAGGGGTCCATCTAGACCAGCAACCTGTTTCACACAGCGGGCCACCAACCAGTTGCCTTGGAGGGCCAACAGAGAATCAAGGCCAAAGCATTCCCCTGATTTTACCTCCTAGCACTGGTATTCAGAGGTTCCCTTCCGCCATCATGGCTAGCAGCTGTTGATGGGTACTCTGAATCTGTGTAACCCCGTTTTAAAGCCACCCATGCTTCACTGACAGTGAATTCCATAATTCAATTACTTATTAAGTAAAGAAGTAGTTCGCTTTGTCTGCCCTGAATGTATTGTCCCTCAACTTCATTGGGTGTCCCCCCCCATTCCAGCACAATGGGAGAGGGAGGAAAAAGACCCCTCTCGGTCTTCCCTTTTCTAAACTGAAAAGTCATAGACTGTTCAACCTTTCCTCGTAGGGAAGGTACTGAAGCCCCTTTGTCATCTTCATGGCCCACTTTGCTACTTTTCCCAGCTCTGCAATATCTTTTTGAGGATATGGGGACAAGCAGGGCTATTTTGGGGCAGGAAGGCACAGGAACGGAGTTCTGGCTGGCTCCCAAGTTGGCCACGCCCAGCAGGAACTCATTAGCATAATAGGCCACACCCAACAGCAGAAACTCATTAGGATTGGCTACATTCAGGGGGTGTGGCCTAACATGCAAAGGAGTTCCTGCTACAAAAAAAGGCCCTGGGTTTTGACAACAAACAAGGTAAACAGAATAACAAGCAAAAGGTGGGTGTGGCTGGATAACCACACTTCTGGCAACATGGGGGTGTGGCCTAATATGTGAATGAGCTGTGCTGTCAGGGCCCAATATGCTAATGTTCCTGCTGTTGGGTGTGGCCTATTATGCTAATGAGTTCCTGCTGGGCTTTTTCTACAAAAAGAGCCCTGGAAGAACAGCACACAGGACTCCAGCCAGCCATTCAGTGCATACTATCTGAATTCTGTTCATAATGCCTTTCTCCTATGGAGGAAATAACCATGCTGACATGATCAGGAGACCGACAAGAAATTCTGAGGCAGCAATCAAAACACTGGAGGGAAATGCATTATAATTGATTGCCGACACCCATATTGATATGCAACGACAGGGGAGCATGCCTTTCAGCTACCAACTTCCTTAGCAGTGGCTACCTCCTTAAGTTATACCTTAGAAATGCCATTGTACATGGCTTTTTTGTTCAGATCTGAGTTCACGCCGTCACCCCCGACACACACGATTCATGTAGTCCCATGTAAATAGCAGCAAAATTCTTCAGTGTTTCCCCTTCCATTTAAATTCACCTAAACATTTTGCATGCCCCCAAATCTATGTTGATAAACTAAGGTCCCTGCCACACGGCAGGAAAAAAAACGGGCAAAGTGCGGCTTTTAAAAGCCACACCAAAATAGAGCCGCCACGGCGGGATCCCACGGATCCCCTGAGCCACGCCGCCATTGCTCCCTGGCATGATCAGATGCCGGGGAGGAAGCGACAGTCGGGAGGGGGAGGCTGCCAAACTGCGCATGTCTGAGCATACGCAGTTCGGACAGGAGCCAGGGATGAGCCGGCGGAAGGACGCGCTGGCGATCCCACGGCTGGCCTTGATGCACCCTTTCCCGAAGACCCACCTAGGTAGGTGGTTTATTTTTGATGCGGGGTTTTGGGTGGAAGGGCCGGATCAGGAACGGGCGCACCAGGCTTCCCAGATGTTGCTGTGGGATCGCGCCCGTTTGCTGCACCCCCGATCCGGCCCTCTCCCGGCCCAAAACCTCTCGTGTGACCGGGGCCTAAATGTATTTGCTGTTATTCATCCCAATCTGAGCCCCAAAACATTAACAATACACTGTGATACATGGGGCTTTGTTCATTTAATTCAAGATGATTGATGGGTGTGGACACTCACTGCAGACAGTATTTCTCCATCCCCATAACATGACCCCTTTGAAGGCACAGGCTCTTGCATAAGATGACAGGGCCGCACACATGCATTCTTCATTGGCATCACAGCTACAGGTATCATACTTGCAGCGCTAGGGGAAAAAATGGTCAGCAGACTGTTGATTATGCTTGCGAGACAACAAAAAACTGGAATTGATCATTGGCGATCATGGACCACAACCATGATAGATGTGATAGATGCAGCTATTTACCTGAAAGCAGGGTCATTTCCTGCAGAAGCGCACAGGAGCGGAGCTCCGGCAGTAAGGAGCCCAGGGGGCACATGCAACAAGCCCCGCCCCCTGCTCCCAGCAGCCCTCAGTTGGACCACGAGGAGCAAGAAGCAGCCAGGTAGGTTTCAGAGCCCCCCCCGCCGCCGGCCTGCCTTCAGGTACAAGCTCTCCCGATCTGCGTGTTCCCCTCCCCCCCAATAGCTAGCAATCCAAAACAGTGGTGGGTGTTGCCTTCTGACACACTTCCGGTGATGTCAGGGGGTGTGGCATATGCAAATAAGTTATGCTAATAAATTACACTAATGAGCTCCGGCACCTCTTTTTCTACAAAATGACCCCTGCCTGAAAGAAAAGCAACCCTGAATGTAAAACATTCTCTCTTTAAAAAAAAGGTTATACATAAAAGTTTTTGTAATTACTGTACAGAACTGTAACCTATATGCAAATTTAAGATTCTTTTTTTTTTCCCTTGAAAAAAATCCCCTAATCTTCCTTTCAGGTAAGAACCTTTGAGGCATGTCTTAGAATTTTCAAAGGCATGTCTTAGAATTTTTCCCCATCTGTTCTTTCTCCATTTGAAAACATTTATGTGTTGAAGACTGTCTCCCCGCCTCCCGCATTCTTTACTACAGGTTTCAAGTTTCATGTAGTTATTTATTCTTATGAAGACTCTAAGGCCCAGTCTGCATCTAGCATTTGCTCTGCTGTTATACGAAACCTACACTGGAACAGAAATTCCCATCTACATCGCATGCCACTTTCACTTTGATTGAGTGTCGCATTTTATGGCAGTGTCCAGACTGCAGGCCGCTTTCACTTTGTTTGATCTCTGGTTTTATGGTGGCTGCCTGCATAGATTTATGGCCATTTTGTGGCTATTCGGGGGTGACTCTGCAGTCAATACGGTGTTGCAGGGCTTTTTTTGTAGAAAAAGCCCAGCAGGAACTAATTAGCATAATAGGCCACACCCAATATCAGAAACTCATTAGCACATTAGGCCTCACCCCTGACAGCACAGCTCATTAGCCTATTAGGCCACACCCCCATGCCTTCCCTTGGCTTGCCTGGGCGTCCCGCAGCTGCAGGACACCTGGATAACCCAGCCCTTGGACAGGCCGGGGAAGGCACGGGAGGCATTTAAATGCTTCCCTGATCCTTCCAGGGCCCCCCTGGCCCATCTGCCTCAGAGTTGCCGGGGGGGGGGTTGCTTCCCTCTATAGCCATGCACACAGAGGTTTTGGCTGTAGTGGGCGTGGCCAGCTCTGAAGCCAGCCGGAACTCCGTTCCTGTGCGTTCCTGCCCAAAAATAGCCCTGCGGTGTTGGCCCCGGGGTAGTTGAATGTGGTTTTGAGCTGCATCTTTTCCTGTTCCAGTGTGGGTTTGGTAAAACAACTGAGCAAATGCTAAATGCAGATTGGGCCTGAATGGGTTGCCTGCCAGCAGTAAGGCTATTGCCCCTGCTGCAAGTCTACCCTAAACTCTAAGTTAGGGCCCGAAATACATAATATGTATGGCACAAGTTGGGTCATGATTACTGAAGATGCCTGTGGAAATGGCGCAGAAAGGAAGCCTGAAGCCCCTCCTCCTCCCTCACAGAGCCCCTGAGCCAAATGGAGCAACAGAACGCTTTTATGGTGAGTCTTCTTGGCTCGTACAGGTGACTACAATTCAGGTTGGGCACCCATAACCAGACTCATGTCACACACATTGTGTATTTAGGCCTTTAGATCTCATGGCTTGGATCCTCTTCCTATAAAGCTCCTATTTCTGCAAGACCAAGGCTGATTTCACACTAGAGCTGCCTCGATGTTGCGCCGCCGTTTGCCCCGGTACTATTGGTCAATTTCACGCCCGAAGCGGCGGGGCTGCATTTGACCCGCGGCTTCGCCTGATTTCCTCCACAATTTCGTGATCCTCAAAAAACAGGATCACAAAACTGCCGGGGAAATCGGGCGAAGCCGCGAGTCAAAATGCAGCCCCGCAGCTTCGGGGGTGAAACTGACCGATAGTATCGGGGCAAACGGCGGCGCAACCGCGAGGCAGCTCTAGTGCGAAATCGGCCCAATAGTTTTCAATGGGTCCTTGAGAAAGTGGAAGTTGAAGAGGAAGAGGAAGCATGCTGTGCTGCAAGGCCTACAGCACACATGCGATTTAGGGCTGCCAGGTCTGGGTTGGAAAATACCTGGAGACTTTGGGGGGGGAGCCAGGAGAGCGCGGGGTTTGAGGAGGGGAGGGGCCTCAGTATGGCACAATGCCCTAAAGTCCACCCTTCAAAGCAGCCATTTTCTCCAGGGGAGCTGATCTCTGTCAGCTGGAGATCCGTTGTAAAAGCGGGAGATCCCCAGCCCCCCCCCCCGGAGGCTGGCAACCCTAATGGCAGGGGTCATTTGGGAGGGGACGCGGGGGGACGCCATCCCCCTGGGTGAGGTGCGGGAGGGTGGGGCCTGGAGCTTCCTGCTGGTGCCCGCTGGAGGTCGCCGCCGGCTGTGGGGAGGACACACTTCCGGTGATGTCAGGGGGTGTGGCATATGCTAATGAGTTATGCTAATGAGTCCCCCTAGCTCTTTTTCTACGAAACGACCCCTGCCTAACGGAATTTGTTCTTAGCATCCAAGCCATGCCTCTAAAGCTGGACCAGAGCTAGAGCTATTAAAGCCCTACAAACATAGCATGTTTTTTTTGTCATCTTGGGGAATGCCTATAGCTAGTCGCCAAAGAGCTGTACAACTGGTTCCAAATGTCATTCTGGGCCTGGCACTTCCTAAACAGCACCTCCACCCAGTGGTGACTTTTAAAAGCAGTGTGTGATGACAAAGGAGTCTTCTGTTCAGAGGAAGAAGTCAAAAATCTTTTGGTGTATTCCTAAGCCCCGGGTTCTCTTTGGAGCTTCTGAATTTATTTCACAGCTATGTTTTTGGTTTTGGTTTTTTAATTCATGCATTTTCAACCACGGTGTCGAAAATCTGGCTGTCCCTGACTCTATCGTTCATTCTGAGAACTATGGATTGGATCCTGTGTAGTTTTCCACAAGTGGAGGGGTGTGTGTGTGATTTTCAACAATTCCCCTCTCCTACTGCCCAACCCCATATTGTACTGTATGCTAACTCCCAAGGGTTCACAGACAATCAGGAGCCACATTTCAGGGAGCACAGGTGGCTGCAGTGGGAAAGAAGGAGAAGAGGAAGAGATTGGATTTATACCCCGCCCTTCACTACCCAAGGGAGTCTCAGAGGGGCTTACAAACTCCTTTCCCTTCCCCTCCCCACAACAGACACCCTGGGAGGTAGAAGAAGAAGAAGAGATTGGATTTATACCCCGCCCTTCACTACCCAAGGGAGTCTCAGAGGGGCTTACAAACTCCTTTCCCTTCCCCTCCCCACAACAGACACCCTGGGAGGTAGAAGAAGAAGAAGAGATTGGATTTATACCCCGCCCTTCACTACCCAAAGGAGTCTCAGAGCGGCTTACCAACTCTTTTCCCTTCCCCTCCCCACAACAGACACCCTGGGAGGTGAAAGAAGAAGAAGAAGAGATTGGATTGATACCCTGCCTTTCACTACCCAAAGGAGTCTCAGGGCGGCTTACAAACTCCTTTCCCTACCCCTCCCCACAACAGACACTCTGTGAGGTAGGTGGGGCCGAGAGAACTCTGGCAGAAACTGCTCTTTTTCAAGAACAGCTCTGACAGAACTATGGCTTGCCCAAGGTCATCCAGCAGGTGCAAGTGGAGGAGTGGGGAATCAAACCCGGTTCTCCCAGATTAGAGTCCGTGCACTTAACCACTACACCAAACTGGTTTATGAGATCCTTCTTTGGATATAACCTTATAAAATAACTGAGGAGAAGACTGCAAAACTTCCTTTACAATCTTCAGTTCAGTACTTCCCGGAAGTGAATAGATCCACGAGACAGCTTTTAATAATTTTGAAACCCATACCTTATAATAATCGGCTGGATCGATGGCTGAGTGGCATCTGGCAAAAGGGCTTTCGGAACTTTTCAATAAAGAGCACCAATGCTCAGCATAATTTTCTGTAACAGAAGTGGGTAAAGTAGACATTAGCGTCAACTGTTTATTTATAGACTTATTGTAATATTCTTGTGTTCAAGGAGGGGTGAGGAGCTGAAAGTGCTCTTCAAATCCCCATAACATCATCATCATAGACCTTTATTGGCACAGTATTACAGATAGATTAAAAAGATAAGGTAAAACCACGATACATGCCACAGTAGCAGAGGAAAAAGTTATAAACAGTCGAATTCAGACGAACATATCCCGAAAGAAAATGGTACATTAAAAACTAAGTGAGGTCCTGGTCACACGGAGAATTTGCCTCGGGAGAGGCACGACTGCCAGGTGGATTAAACGGGCGCGATCATACGGAAACATCTGAGAAGCGTCGCCCGCCCGTCCCCAGCTCATAGCTTACTGCTGAAGATCTGGAGTTAAAAAGTACCACCCCGAGCTACTAGCAAATGGTTTGCTATGGGCCGCAGACTGTCTCCATCTGATCGCCCCAGCGTGCTCCTTTTGCCCCGTTGGAGCGCTTTAAGAACCACGCGCCAACGAAAACAACGCGGTTTGCTGCCATGGCGTCTGATCGCGTTGCAGCGGCTCAAATTGCAATGGCGCTAATAGCCACGCCGCCTCCCCGCATTACCTGGCCCGTGTGACTGGGGCCTGATAAAAGCTCTTGCCCTTAGCTTCCATACCAGTGAGAGGAACTCAGCTACAGATGCAGTGATTTCAGGGGATTTATCGTAAAGCAAGAAGATAAACTCATTATCAACAGTCTTTGCAGAAGGCAAAAGAGGACGAATCAAGTGATGGCGTAGGAAAGAATAATGGGGGCAATGAAGAAGGATATGTTGCACAGAGTCGGGTTCATTAGAGAAGCAAGTGCAAACTCTATCCTTATAGGGGATACCCTTATATCTACCTGTCAGAACAGCCAAAGGAAATAAATTAAACCTAGCCAGCATAAAGGCTCTGTGGTGAAGAGGAATAACCAAATTAGAAAAATACTGAGCCATAGAATCTTGTCGTGAGGGGAGGCCAAGGAAACGAAGGGAGTACACTCCAGAGCTGCCTGCATTAATTACTTGGGCTTCGATGTCCCATATCCTCCTTTGTACAAATGGCCATTTCTCCATAATTAGCCAGAGAGTCCAGATCAATACTCCCCATAGCATTCAGATGACAAAAACAGAAACAGACACGAAACAACCAAATTAGGGGGTGGGTCACTCTTTCTGGGTAATAAAGATGATAAGTACTTTAGGTCCCGGTCACACGGCAAAGTTGCCGCGGGAGAGGCACGGAAGGGGGGCGGATTATCCGGGCGCGATCACACCCCAACATCTGGGAAGTGGAGCGCACCCGTGGCTTACCGCCAACAATGCGTGTTAAAAAACTTGTATCTCCAAGGTACTAGTAAACGTTTGCCATGGGCTACCTCCAGACGCCCGTAGTGTGATCGTGCTGGCGTGCGGCATTCCCCTCCGGTCCCTCGTTTACCCACCGGCGCCGAGGGAAGGACCCGTAGTGTGCCACCGGCGTGTCTGATCGCATAATCACGAATCAAACTGCACCGGGGCAATTAGCCACGCCTCCCCCCCCCCGGCGATATCCGGCCCATGTGACCGGGGCCTTAGAGTGGTTTTTGTCCTAAACATCAGATATAAAAGACATCTGGTAGAAATGCGGTTGAATCCTGTGATGTCCTTATGAAAATCACCCTTCCTTACCATTTTCAAGGTTAAGAGTGCAAGGGTGTTCCAATTTATCCGCCTTGTCAGCACAGCTACTTTGTGCTTTCCATGTGTTAGCAAAGGCAGCCCCCGTTGCTTCGACCATTCCGCCTGATGTCTTGAAGTCATCCCCTTCTATTCCGTTGAAATTCCCACAAAGACCTAGTGGTGAAAGCAAGAGAATTATTTATAACTGCTTGCCTTTTTTTTTTCCTTTGTCAAATGAGGAGAGGAAGCAATAGTGAACACGAGTGAGACCTACTTTAAGTCAAGTTGTTTACAGCCATGTTGGTCCAAAAGAAAAAGTTTAAGGGGCAACTAGCAAAGTCAGTCTGGCTGGCTGCCAAATCCCACACGTTCCAATACTTGTTTTTTGGGGGGGATTACCAGATTTTGGACAACAAACATGAATTTCAGTTCAACAGTGTAAGTTTCTTGTATGATTTCTCCACACCTGAGACAACAGTGCATCTGTCCTTTTTCTTAACCATATTAACAAAGTTCAATTAAAAATTGTCATTAAAATATAGCTGTTTTGTTTTATTTGTTTGCAGTAAATATATTACTTTCCATTTTTATTTTTATTTTGCTCCTTTGTTTTAGTATCTAGAATATAAATGGCACAAAGAGTATAATATGGTCTTGCTAGACACACATGAAAATTAAAAGTAATTTAAAAAATCAATGTGACCCTAATTCTTGTTTCCTGCTAAATTGTGAACTAGCAGTGTATGAAGCTAGGGTATAACAAGCTATTGTGAAATGTCTCCCGAAACGGAGATTTAATAAGTGAAAAGACGTAACTTCACATTTGAATTCAGACACTTTGAAGAAAGAAGGGGGAAATTACCTAGAAAATAAAATGACTGCTTTTACCACACTGTCGTAAAGAAGTGCATTTCCTCCAGGGTTTTGATTTTATGGAACCACCAGTCAACCGGACAATTTTGCAAGTACTTCGTTCCGTTTTATTTAAAACATTTGTATTCCCTCTTTCCACCCGATTCAGAGTACCCAAGGTTGCAAAAAATCATTCACAACATAAAAACAAGCTTTAAAATACAAATGGCTATATACATTTAAAACAATAAAATGTTTAAACATACAGACACATAAACAGGAAAAAGCACCAGTGAAAGTTACTGAGGGAATGAGAAACAAATCAGAAAAGTCTTCATCTGCTGGTAAAAGGGAATGATAGAAGGGGACAGATTAATCTCCCTGGGGAGACAGTTCCAGAATTTTGGTGCCACAACTGAGAAGGCCTTCTCTTGGGTTGCCGAGGGTTGCCAGCCTCCAGTCAGGGCCTGGAGATCTCCTGGAATTACATCTGGTCTCCAGATAACAGAGTCCAGTTCCCCTGTCAAAAATGGCTGCTTTGGAGGGTGGGCTGTATGGCTTTATACCCTGTTGAGCTCCCTCCCCTTCCCAAACCCCATCCTCTGCAAGCTCCATCCCCAAAATCTCCAGGAATTTCCCAATCTCAAATTGGCAACCCTACCTCAGATGGCAGGGGTGCCCAAATCAGGCCCTCTAGTGATGACTGGAGGGATCAGGTAGGTTCATATGGGAGTAGGCGGTCCTACAGATATGCTGGGCCCACCAGTCCCGTAGCCAGGATTTTTTAAGTCAGGGGGCATTTAAATTCCTTAGGGGGCACTGTCTAATCAAATTAAAAGTAATATAGGCTGTGGTCACACGGAACAGTAGCCATGCTAGAGAGACGGAAGATAGGCGGATTTTTCCGGGCGCGATCTCACTGCCACATCTGGGAAGCGTAGAGCTCCCGTGGCTCAACCGAGGCTTCCCGCCGAAGATGCACGGCAAAAAACTAGTACCTCGGAGGTACTAGTTTCCGGAAACCGCGGGGCAAGGGCGGGCATCTGATCGTGTTTCCAGTGGCATCCTGCGCCCGCCAATGTCCCCTCACAAACAGGTCATTTTTTTTCCAAGGCTCCACGGATGCACACAAGCACCCAACGGAGCATGCGCACACTTCAGTTTTAAAAAGTAAAAAAAACCCCAACCCCGTTTGCCGCGCCACCCCGCTTCTTTGCCTGTGGTGTGATCAGCACCTCCCCCCTAGCCACGGGACCTTGACAGGACCTCGACCGGACGTCTGATCTCGCAGTCGCGCGTTAGTTTGCCCCAGGGCAAACAACCACTCTTCCCCCCCGCATTTTCCAGCCCGTGTGACCGGGGCCATAATTCAGTTTCTGAAGGAAATAGAGAGGTGCTTTCTGGCTCCACATGGCCACCATAGCTGGTCCTTCATGCCAGACAGCTGTGCAGGAATACTCTGCTCCTTTCCCGCACCTGCCACTGCTTGGGGGCCCTGGGCTGGATGAGAAGTCGTGGGGCCTTGCCAGTAAGTTGGGGGAGCTAGCCCCGAGTTGCCCCACTGTAGCTACGGGCCTGGGGCCCACCACTGTGCAGGGCTTCAAAGGTCAATGCCCCAAAACAAATTGAGAGTCAGTGTATGCAGAACAAGACTGGAGAGATATGTTCCCTATGACCCACTCCAGTCAATATTCTGGCCATAGGATTCTGGATATTCTTCAAGTACAGCCCAAGGTAGAGTGCACTGCAGTAGTCTAACCTAGGTGTTATCAGGGCATGCACCACAGTGACAAAGTACTTTTTGCTCAGGAAGGTCTGAAGTTGGCTTCATCAACTAGAGCTGGTGAAAGGCAACCCTGGCTGCAGCTGCCACCCGATTAGCCAACAAAAGTCCCTGGTCCAGCAGCACCCCAAAGCTACAAACCTGTGCCTTTAGAAGGAGCACAGTCCCATCCAGAACAGGAAGAGAAGAAGAAAATAGATTGGATTTATACTCTGCCCTTCACTACCTAAAGGAGTCTCAGAGCGGCTTACACAAACCCCTTTCCCTTCCCCTCCCCACAACAGACAGCCTGTGAGGTAGGTGGGGCTGAGAGAGCTCTGACGGAAATTGCTCTTTTTCAGGAACAGCTCTTATCAGAACTACGGCTTGCCCAAGGTCATCCAGCCAGGTGCAAGTGGAGGAGTGGGGAATCAAACTCGGTTCTCCCAGATTAGAGTCCACACACTTAACCACTATACCAAACAGGAGACATCCCAATTCCTGGATCAAACCTTCCCTCCATTGGCACATTTTTTGTGGGGGGGGGTTCTTTTTCAGCCTCTACTTTCAGTTGTTTCAGCAACCAAGCATTTTCTTCCCCTTACTAGTTCTGATACAAAATGATCTCCCATGCTAGATAAGAGTTCATACTTGCCTTGGACTGTTCCCTTGACAGATTGATCCGCAATGGCAAACAACTGCATGATTGGAGCCATCTGAATCTGCAGCTTCAAGCCAAAATTTGTCTGTACAATAATATGGTAGGAAGATGGCTGGAAAACTGAGAAGCTAGCTGGAAAACAGTAAAAAAAAAAAAAGACGTCATGTTCTGCTGATTATAATTGATTAATCTCTCCCCTTAACAAGGGGGGAAATAGCAATGAACCTTCCTTATGCTATGCATCAAATCAGGGCTTTTTTTGTAGAAAAAGCCCAGCAGGAACTCATTAGCATAATAGGCCACACCCAATAGCAGAAATTCATTAGCATATGAGGCCACACCCCTGGCAGCACATCTTATTAGCATATTAGGCCGCACCCCCATGCCTGCCCTTGGCTTGCCTGGGCGCCCCGCGGCTTGAAGAGAAGGGAAGACAGTTTAAGCTGCCTTCCCTTGACTTGCTCAGGTGCCCCGTGGCTGCCCCGTGGCTGCCGGGTAGCCCTTGGATAGGCCAGGGGAGGCACGGGGCATTTAAATGTCTCTCCAATCCTTCCAGGGACCCCCCGGCTCGCCTGCCTCAGAGTTGCTGGGGGCTCACTCTCCAGGCCTTCCCTCCATAGCCACGCATGCAGAGGTTTTGGCTGTAGTGGACGTAGGGTTGCGGTGCTCATCTCCGTTTCAAAGCCGAAGAGCCTGCACTGTCTGAAGACATTTCCGTGGTCATGTGGCCGGCATGACTAAACACCAAGGTGCACGGAACGCTGTTACCTTCCCACTGAAGTGGTACCTATTTATCTACTTGCAATTTATTGCTTTCGATCTGCTAGGTTGGCAGGAGCTGGAACTAGAGACAGGAGCTCACTCCATCATGCGGCACACTCGGGTCTCGAACTGCTGAATTTCCACAGCCTGCAGCTCAGCGTCTTAACCACTTGAGCCATCCCCAAATCCCTGTCTCATCCTGTCATTGACCCAACACTCTAAAATGGTCAGCCAAAGGATTAGCAGTGCAGGGGAGACATGAACAAGCATTTCCTTCTCACCTGATACATGGGGCAAGTGGACCTCATTCTCATTCAGTAATACAGTACCATCGGGTTTGAAAACCACAATCTGTGTGGAGAAACAGTCTTTGTTAGCGGGGTCTCAAGAGCATTTTTAAAAAAGGAAATGGTTTGAATAAACATAATGATAACTAATGCATTTGGCTTGAATAAACATAATGATAACTAAAGGGAAATTGGGTTTTCTTATGCATGGAAGTTACAGTTTTTGAAAGTATTCTTAGACTTAGGAAAAAGCTCAGCAGTGATGGATTTATGACAACCAAATGATGGATTCTCACCAACCAAAAGGGAGACTGCAACCAAGGAATCAGAAGGAGACTGAGGCTGGGAAAGTGTAGTGTATGCTGACCACCACCGGGGGCCAGCGAACAGCCAGAGCTTGGCTCTGGAAGAACAATAGGCTCCTAGTCCCTCCACTGGGGAACCAATGGGAACCATGGTTCCCCGGCCGTTTGTGCTTGTTCTTGTTGTGTACCAAATAAAGCGTGCCATGCACCACGTCGTCGTCGGTCGTTTATCTATACGGCAACCCACTACATAACAGAAAGGCAGCTATGAAGGAGCTAGAAGACATTCTTAAGTGTAAGGAAGTTAATTCATACCATCGTATATCCCATTATTATGTATGGGTGTGAAAGCTGGATAATGAAGAAAGCTGACACGAAGAAAGTTGATTCATTTAAAATGTGGTGTTGGAGGAGGGTTTTATGGGTACTGTGGACCACCAGAACGACAATTAATTGGGTTCTAGATCAAATCGAGCCTAAACTCTCCCTAGAAGCTAAAATAACGAAACTAAGGTTATTGTACTTTGGTCACGTTACGAGTAGACAAGAATAACTGGAAAAGGCAATAAGGCTAGGCAAAGTTGAAGACAGCAGGAAAAGAGGAAGACCCAACATTAGATGGATTGAGATAGCCATGGTCCTCATTTTGCAAAACCTGAGCAAGTCTGTTAATAGGACATTCTGGAAGTCATTAATTCATAGCATTGCCATAAGTCAGAAGTGACATGGACAACATATAACCCATGCACAGAAATAAACTACAGTTATCGGCTTCAGATTATGAGAAGCATTAAAAGATAATAAATAAATAAATACATACATACTAAGGTTGCCAGGTCCATCTTTCACCCCAAGCAGGGGACTTTGGGGGTGTTCCTGGAGGGGGCGGGGCATCCCCGACGTGATGACGTCACGTTGGGGACGTCCGCCGCCCCCCCCCCGCCCATGTGCCAGATCTCCAGAAACGGCAGTTCCCTGCACTTAAAGGAGCCGGCGTTTCCCTTTTAAATGCAGGAGCCAGCGTTTCCCCTTTAAGAGCAGCCGCATTTCCCTTTTAAGAGCACGAAGCTGGCATTTCCCTGCAAGCTTGCGGAGATCAGGCTTGGGAGGAAACACGGGTTCCACACACTTAAAGGGAGAGAGAGGGGTGGCTGTGGGTGTTGGGGGTGGGGCTTCCCCCGCCGGCCATCTGGCTGGCGGCGGGTAGAACCCCCCCCAAAAAATGGGGGACCCCTGGCAAACCGGGGGGGTTGGCAACCCTAATACATACATACAAAAAAAATACTGAATTTCCACTTGGGGCCTCTTAACTTGACCTAGTTTGGCCCTCAAAATGTCTTAATTGATGTGGGCTTGCAGCTCAGTCAATGCAATGGACCTTAGTAATGGATCACACACATATAAACGCACATGTCTGCACACAACATCTCTGTACAAATCTCTGATGGACAGAGAGATAGAACATTCTTCATACGTCTGTCTGTGAATTCTGGTTTTGTTCGTAAAATGCTGAACATTTTTTGTTAGAGAGCCGTAGTCCCTTCATGGAATGTCCATTTACATGGCTCCCTGGTTGAAAACCAAGACTGTTAAGGAAGTTTGAAACAGCCTTAAAACTGTATGTAGACTCGCCCTGTGACAACTGGCTGCTGTCATAAGTAAACACTGTCCAGAACACACACTATGTCATTCGGGGAGGGGAGGGGATTTCATTAAAATTTTAGAACATAACTTCCTGTGATAATGATACATTTTTAAATGCTTATTTTATATATAGAGAGAAAGGGGTCTGTCAAATTGGTTTTTAAATGTAACTGTTAAGAAATATGAAAGCTGTAAAAGGAATAGAAGAATAGGGAAAAGAAGGGAAAGGTGAAGATATAAGGACAGGCAGAAGGAAGAAAAGAAGAAATAGTGTGGGAAGAGCAATACATGGAAAAGTGAGATACCCTTAAGAACATGAGAACATAAGGGAATAGGGAAAAGAAGGGAAAGGTGAAGATATAAGGACAGGCAGAAGGAAGAAAAGAAGAAATAGTGTGGGAAGAGCAATACATGGAAAAGTGAGATACCCTTAAGAACATGAGAACATAAGAGAATAGGGAAAAGAAGGGAAAGGTGAAGATATAAGGACAGGCAGAAGGAAGAAAAGAAGAAATAGTGTGGGAAGAGCAATACATGGAAAAGTGAGATACCCTTAAGAACATGAGAACATAAGAGAAGCCGATGTCAGGCCAATGGCCCATCTAGTCCAACACTCTGTCACACAGTGGCCAAAAATACCAGGTGCCATCAGGAGGTCCAGCAGTGGGTACAGTACTCCAAATGAGGTCGCACCATCGATTTACACAGGGGCATTATGATACTGGCTGATTTGTTTTCAAGTCTTTACCCTTGCAAGTCTTTACCTTGCAAGTCATTACAGGTTCTCTGTTGCACAACTGGGCTCAGTGTGTAACTCAGCCAGATGGAAAGTGGTGGGGAAGTGAAAGGGGTAAAGGTGAAGACAGGGGAGCAGATAAAGGTAGGTTGGCTGATGGTTGGCAGGGAGAGAGGGAAATAGGACAGAGGGCTATTTGGGTTTTCAGGGAAGAGAAAAGAAAAAATAGTAGAGGAGGGAGAATAAGATGCCCTCACAAGGTCTTGTGGGTCCCTTGCCTGTAATGATTTATAGTCGGACTTACATTTTGCATGTGGTCAAGTAAGAGAACGACCATCTTTAAACATGTCTGTTTGTCTGTAGAACCACAGGGGCCCAGCTCTCCCAAGAGGGCATATGAGTCATTTTTACTGCTCTGCAACTAGAGAAGAACAAATATAATTAGTTACTCACTGCTGCTTAAGCTGGTTCATTTTATAGAAAGACTGGAATGAAACACCACCAAAACGTAATTCTTTAAATCTTTGCTTATGATACTCCATATATAGATGAAATAGCTCCCCCTCCATGTTTTTTACATACACACACGCACACACAAATGCAAAACTCCCTCCCTGGCCGAAGAAGAAGAAGAGATTGGATTTATACCCCGTCCTTCACTACCCAAGGGAGTCTCAGAGCGGCTTACAAACTCCTTTCCCTTCCCCTCCCCACAACAGACACTCTGTGAGATAGAAGAAGAAGAGATTGGATTTATACCGCACCCTTCACTACCCAAAGGAGTCTCAGAGCAGCTTACAAACTCCTTTCCCTTCCCCTCCCCACAACAGACACCCTGTGAGGTAGGTGGAGCTGAGAGAGCTCTCGACAGAAACGGCTCTTTTTCAAGAACAGCTCTTATCAGAACTATGGCTTGGCCAAGGTCATCCAGCCAGGTGCAAGTGGAGGAGTGGGGAATCAAACCCGGTTCTCCCAGATTAGAGTCTGTGCACTTAACCACTACACCAAACTAGGAAGAGCCCTCCCTCCCCTCTGCAGCACCATTCTGAGCCTGTTTGAGCTCCTCCCCCCTTTTTACAAGCAGTTCCTTGCAAGTGCTGAGAGGCTGTGGGGAACTCAGGGGACACAGAAGTGAAGAATGGTAATGTGTAGTTGAACCCCTCAGACGCAGGTCTGCTGTCCCCACGACAGGCCAGCAACAGTAGAGTTTGGCTGCCTAGCAAATACGTCGACTAATCAGATATGCATTAGGATAAATAAAACGCAAAGGTTTGTAGCCTTGGCTTTTATTTCATAGCTCAGACACAGCACTATTGTGTCCTTCCAGAGATTTAAACAGTGAAAGGCCCATGTGGCTATATGTATCATTCAAGTTGTCAAAGAGCAGTGGGTGCTAAGGCTGCGAACCAGGGCTCTTTTTGTAGAAAAAGCCCAGCAGGAACTCATTAGCATAATAGGCTACACCCAACAGCAGGAACTCATTAGCATATTAGGCCACACCCCTGACAGCACAGCTCAATAGCATATTTGGCCACACCCCCATGTTACCAGAAGTGTGGTCATCCAGCCACACCCACCTTTTGCTTCTTATTCTGTTTACTTTGTTTATTGTCAACACCCAGGGCTTTTTTTGTAGCAGGAACTCCTTTGTGTGTTAGGCCACACACCCCTAATGTAGCCAATCCTAATGAGTTCCTGCTGTTGGGTGTGGCCTATTATGCTAATGAGTTCCTGCTGGGCGTGGCCAACTTGGGAACCAGCCAGAACGCCGTTCCTGTGCGTTCCTACCCAAAAATAGCCCCGAGAACTATTCCTTTTGTGCATTCTGCTATCTAGAACCGGGTATAGTCTTGTTCTCATATCTCAAAAGTATACGGCCACATTCCTTTTAACCAGAGTAGAAACCTCTAATGCACTTACCTTGGTCAGCACATAGTAGCAATCTCCATGAAAAGTGTATTTCTTCCCATCAAAGGTGGTGAGGTGAGCTCCTCCTTCCAGAGCACATGTACCTGGACAGGGTAAGTCCTGGCATATCCACCTACCTGACTGGCAGGTGCTGTGAATAAGGGGGAAAAAATTAGGAATCGAAGTATACTACCACACTGAGTCAATCCAAAGTGGGTTTAGAGCTTTCAAGCAGAGAAACTGTATTGAACATGTTTGCACTCAGAGGTACACTGGGAACAAGTGTCCTGAATGATTTGTCACCTGAAAGGACTGAAAAGGTTGCCTTATTTCTAAGTTTGGTAAATTAAGGATTGATTGCGCAATGCATAGATGCGTATGATTGACTCATTTCTCCTTGTTACCTCTTTATCTGTTTATGTTTCTTCCTGTAACCTGACATATGCCAATAAAGGTCTGTGTATGTGTAAGTCTAGTGCTTTCACATCTAGTAACTTCATTTCTTAGAAACGATTCCATATTCAGCAAGCCATAAAGTTGTCACCCATGCGCTACACACAAATCCCTAACCCTCAAGAAAGTTCCAGAAAGTATATCATGCAAAAGGCAGAAATAAAGTTTCAGAGAATAGCTGTGCTGGTCTACAGAAGAACAGCTAGATTTGAGTCCAACAAGATTCTGGGGGTATAAGCAGGGCTTTTTTTTTGTAGAAAAAGCCCAGCAGGAACTCATTAGCACAATAGGCCACACCCAACAACAGAAACTCATTAGCATGTTAAGCCTCACCCCGACAGTACAGATCATTAGCATATTAGGCCACACCCCATGCCTTTCCTTGGCTTGCCCAGCCCTTGAAGGGAAGCTTGGCCTTAGAGGGAACTGTCTTCCCTTGTCCTGCCTGGACACCCTGCTGCTGCGGGTGGGGAGCCCAGGCAACCTGGCCCTTGGACAGGCCGGGGAATGCAGGTGGAGGCATTTAAATCTCAATCCTTCCAGGCCCTCCCCTGGCCCGCCCACCTCGGAGTCACCAGGGGAGGATCACTCTCCAGGCCTTTCCTCTGTAGCCAGGCACGCAGAGGTTTTGGCTGTAGTGGGCGTGGCCAACTCTGAAGTCAGCCAGAACTCCGTTCCTGTGCGTTCCTGCCCAAAAATAGCCCTGGGTATAAGCATTTGTGGCCCAAAGCACCCTTTGTCGGATGTCTTCAGTATCTGTTGAGCTTTGACTCTTGAAAGCTTATACCCCCAGAATCCTGTTGCTCTCTAAGGTGCTACTAGACTTGAATCAAGACTTGAAAGAGTTTTCTTTCACACAATGAGTCTGGTGTCTTCGACACAGCGACAGGACATTGTGGTTCCCCCATTGTTGGTGAGGCTGCAGATAATGGGTGTTGCCTTCTGACACACTTCCGGTGATGTCAGGGGGTGTGGCGTATGCAAATAAATTCTGCTAATGAGTTCTGCTAATGAGCTCCTGCACCTCTTTTCCTACGAAATGACCCCTGGGAAAAACACTTGAGCTCTGGGCAGGTGATCTGTGCGGAAGACAACCTTACCTGTTTAGGAGGACCGTTATATAATTTGCCCTCGTTTTCAGTGGCATCAAGGTTATGGAAGCCTGCCTTCCACCTTCCTTGACAACACTGTGGCATCAGGTCAAAGCAGAATCTGCTGTTAATTGGGGTTGTTGCTGTTTTTCTTCCTCTCTGCCATTTTCTTCACTTGCTCTGCTCAGTTTTTAAGCTCATCTGGCTATTTTAGTTGTTTTCCCCCATTCTGGGGTGGGGGCATTTTGATATAGTTAAGGTCCCTGAGGGTTGCCGCATCCTAAAAGTGGGCTATAAATATTTTATATAAATAAATAATTTTGGGGCTGGCTGGGGATCCTGATTTTGTTCTCTTTTATAGCATATGTCATTCCAGATTAATTAGTATGATCTGCTGAACTATAAGTTTTTACTGAATATTGGATGTGAAGAAACTGGATCTTTACACAAAGAGCTAATCAAGAAGTTATTCGTCTTATCTTTCGATCCGATCTAATTTATGACACCAAGAGCCAGTAAGAGAGTACAATTCTGATGTAAGCAGGATTAAAACAGTAACAACGTAGGAACCGTATAAAAACATTAACAAGAGAAAATCAATACAATTAGTAAAATAATGTTAATAAGAGAATCATACAATTTTTTCAGCGAAAATAAGTTTACGTTTCCTAATAGCTAAGCAACAAAAAATTTGCCACAGCGTAAGTCACTGAGCTCTGAACGTCTTCTAAGAGGAATTTACGACGGACTTCTGGCCTAAAGTCAAGATAAGACTGCAGAGGGCTAAATCTAGACAGAAGGGGTAGTATAAGATGGTCTCGTTCCTCCTGATAGAATCTGCAGAACAGGAGGACATGAGTAATTGACTCCACCATATTAGCCATGCATGGGCATCTACGTTCATGCATTGGAATGTTAGTGCTCATAGGTAATGTAAAATAAACAAGGGGCAGCATTAAAATTAGGCCGAGATTTTAGATTTCTAAAGTTCTTGGGTAGCGAAGCTTCTTCGTTTTGTAATTCAGTATCACGAAGCCACTGCGCGACAGCTGTTCTTGCCTTGTGTAGGCATCTTATCTTTTAAGAGACCCAGTTCCACTGTAAAGGTGACAACTTTAAGCTAGACTGCCTCCCCCCCAAAATTACTCTTAAAAATACCGCACAGGGAGTTGAATTCCTTACCAGTTTTCACACTCATTGGTGATGTTTTGCCCAGGGGAATATAAATTCCCATGAAGCTTGCAGGAACATTGGCTTGTTGCCACACAGCCGTTGCCAGTCATATCATCGTACACTGTGCCTGCAAAACAAAATGAAGCATGCTTCTTAATTAAAGATAACTTAGGCCCCTGCCACACGGCAGGGGAAAAGCCGCCAAAAAGCGTGGCTTTTAAAAGCCGTGCCAAAGTTGAAACGGATCCCCTGGCCGCACCACCTTTTCTCCCCGGCACGATCAGACGCCGGGGAGAAAACACAGATCTGATGGCGAGCCAGCCGAACTGCGCATGTCGGAGCATGCGCAGTTTGGCTAGGAGCCGGGGACGCGCCGGCGCAAGGATGCGCCGGCGATCAGACTCCCGGTTTGCGGCGCACCATTGAGATGAACCACCTCCATAGGTGGTTCCAACTTGCTCCGGATTATTGCGTGGATGGGTCAGTTCGGGGACGGAAGCACTACGCTTCCCAGATGTTGTGGTGTGATCGCGGCCATTTGCTTCGCCCCCAAACCGTCCCGCTCCCGGCCCAACTCCCCTCGTGTGAACGGGACCTTAGGCTGCAAACCTGTGAAGTTACAGTGAAAGCTAGTAACTGAGCCGTGGCCATCTCAACCTGGGCTTTACTGATCACATACACCTTTACATCCATGGTACAACACTGAAATGTGTACCTTCAGGGCAAAAGCACCCATCCATGTAGTGCTCTTCACATAGGCTGCTGATCTCCAGATGTGAACAGGAGTCCATACAGGGTGAGCCACTTTCCATATAGATCATGTTTCCAGGACAAGACTTCGCTAAAAGAATGAAAGAGAAGCGAGGACCAGTTAGAAGCAAATTCTGCATCCCAAGGACATACCTACTCACCAGTGGAAAGATAAGGTAACTGGACCAATGAGAAATCTAACACTGGCAAAACATTATTAAACAGAGAATAGACCAGGGTTCCTCAAACTACGGCCCGTGGGCCACATGCGGCCCGCTGGAAACATTTATCCGGCCCTCAGGGGCGCCAAACTGCTGATATGTGCAGTGTGCATAGGAATTTGTTCATAGGGTTTTTTTAAACTATAGTCCGGCCCTCCAACGGTCTGAGGGACAGTGAACTGGCCCCCTGTTTAAAAAGTTTGAGGACCCCTGGAATAGACTATTCATTTCTTGTGAGCAGCTGATTTTTTAAAATATTGAATTAACCGTTTTTTCCCCAATTAAAATAAAAGCATTTTCAGAAAGGTTTTAACAAATGTCAAAAGTATCGGATTTGAGGTGCGTCAGGTGGGGGAAGACTGAGACTTGCACTGGGGGGGGAAACATAAGGTAGATATTTGCTAACATTTATAATCGGGGTGCAACCCAAAGAAAGACAATTGAAGTTATAATTCTCTTTAATTGCATGAGAGTTAAGCACATAAGTTTCCTGGGCTTCCCCCCCCCCCTTATTTTCAGTTCCCCTTTTTGCTTCTTCAAGCAGAAAGGGCTATTCCAGTGACCTTCTTCCATCACGCAGTCACTGAAAAACTCCTGTTAGTTGTTATAAGAACACAGGAGGAGCTCCCCGGACTTCCTCCCATGGTGTTCGACAAATGCATCTTGTATGAGCCAGTGAGCGCCACAGAAACCATGGCAAAACTTACGACAAAATTGCGACGTCCTCCAATTCTGAGGCCTGCCACCTGAATGCGAACACTGACGTGAATATTCCGAGATGGTGCTGCAGAGGCAAAAGGCGTCCTCAGCTTGGCCGCAAGCACATCTGTCCTGCATGCACGCTTGGATATACTGCTCCAGATTCAGGCGGGACTGACAGTCCTCAAAAGCGGGAGCCGTCAGCAGCGCCTCACACTCTTCCCGCTAGACAGAAAAGGAAACACAGGTTAACCGATCTCCTAAACATCTGGTGTTCTCTTTTTCCAAGGGGCTTCTAAAGCAACAGTAACAAACATTGATAGTTAAAATGGCGTATGTAAGGAGTGTAGGGTTGCCAAGTGTCTTACCTTGCGCAGTGGGGGAGAGTTGGTCCCAGGCTGGGACATTCGCGTGAGTGCACAGCATGTGCCGCGATGACGTCGCCCGGAAGTGACATCGTCACGCTGGGCACATCGCTGGGCAACACTCTAGCAATCCGCCTGGAAAGTCATAGAGTTTTCAGGCTGATTGCTAGAGCGTCGCCCGGCGACATGCCCAATGTGATGATGTCACCTCCGGGCGACATCACGTCGGCCTAATCTGGGCACTTTGGGGATGGGGTTTCCCCCGCCGGCCAGAACCGGACCAGCGGGGGCCCTTTGGGTGGACAAACCCCCGCCGCCCCCCGGGGACTCGGCAGCCCTAAAGTAGTGGACTCAGGCTTCTAAAATGATGAGTTTAGGATACTGACTTCAGTGCCGGCTGATGGCGCCAAGTAGTACCTCTTGGAAGGATTCACTTTTGAACGACATCAGGGATGTATGGCTTCAGGGCCTTAAGATGAAACATCTAATATTGGGAAATTTGTTCTTGACATGTTTTCATAGCATTTGGGCTGCAAGTATGCTATGGTATCACAGTCTCGTACCCAAACTGTTTCTACTGTATACGGAGTCCAACAACCTGTGTTCTAGTCTTTCAGGGCCTTAAGATGAAACATCTAATATTGGGAAATTTGTTCTTGACATGTTTTCATAGCATTTGGGCTGCAAGTATGCTATGATATCACAGTCTCGTACCCAAACTGTTTCTACTGTATACGGAGTCCAACAACCTGTGTTCTAGTCATCGCCTGCTAGTAAGAGTACTACATCATGGAGGTCTTTGGAGTATAGGGTGTATTTACTTAGTCCATATGCAAAATGTGCTTATTTCCCTCCCCTTCGTC